ATCTATCAAAGAGAATAACGTCAACAAACGAAAGAAAAGAACTCATCATTATTTAATTCGAAAATAAGTTATCATGTTTGAATTGTGCTGATAATATTAGTCACACTTTTCAAGAATTTCAATCCATTAATTTATCATGCATTATTCAAGTGTTCCGGTAGCTGTTATCATATAAGTTCTTTCTGAAAAAAAACTAAAGTTGCTTAATTTATTTGCTGCTGGTTTCAAAACTCTGATCAGTGTCATGAATTGCCAACAGAAATTGTTAAACTATACTTGACAAAACACAATATTTGGTGCTTAGGCATGTGAATGATTTGACAAAGTACTTCTTCATCAAGTCTTTACTATTCGAAGTGATTTCTGACCAAAGAGATTTTTTGACGATAAACTCTTTGCAATATGGTTCAACAATCACGAATGAACACTCTGAATCTGCGTTGGTGTATGATATTTTAAAAAGAAAATAGTCATCTCTGTTATTTTCACCTCCAGACCATTGCTCGTTAGTATTCAAACGATAAATATTTCATTTCACATTTGTTCGTTTTCTATTATTTTCAATCTGCATTGGACTTATTTACTTTTCAATAGAGCATATTGTCCTTAAAATTCCTCGTTTACTAAGTTTCTAAATACACATATGATAAAATTTGTTGCGGATGAAATTAAATCAAAGCATCAAACAAATCAAATTTTATTTCTCAAACTGAATACAAAGGGCATGAGGTGTGCGTATGTGGATGTGACTGTGTGGAGTGTGAAGGTGAACATAAGCTAACAGAAAATCATACCGACATCCACACCCTCCAAGCGAGCGATAATAAGAATAGCAAATATAACGATGAATGAAGGATAATAAGGAAATGAGTCTAAAAATGAACAGAATAGCTATGTCATATTTTACATTTTAATCCAAAAGAATTCTACTCATAACTTTTTATTGAAAGATGGACAAATGTTCAATGTATTTATCGATGGAGTATATGTGATCACATTAATTGTACTTATTCAAATTATTGTCAATAATATTTAGATTTAAGTGATAAACGTAAATGAAAATAAGCAAAAACAGAAAAATTTTATTGATTTATAAATAATAAGGAATCTTTAAAATGTGAATATAATACATTAAATTATTGGTCATATCATTTTTGACTCTCTATCAGTAAAGTCTTAGAATTAATGTAATTATAAGATATTGATTAGAGAAAATTTTCTTCGGAAAAATTATTTGATCTATCTATTTTCTTTTTCTCTCATATTTTGGACTCGAATAGAAAATCTTTCATTAACTATATAGAATAATTCAAGTTTAATATTCCCTTAAAATATAAACTAATGAATATGAACATACAATCATTGCTTTTCGCCGTTTGAACTTATATTTGACACACAAAAAGTGTCGATAAGACTAGAAAAACTAAAAGTAGTTTGTGAGCATGGATCTTTGGAGTCAAGTTATGAGTCATGATTCAGTTCTAGAAACGCATAGTTACCAACATTTTTAGAAATTTCCTTGCCTTATGGAAACTGCCTATGAGATGTAAACATGAACTAGAATTACTGAAAGTCTCATTTTAATAGAAGCAATGTGTGCGACAGAATTAAAGAGGAGTAGATGTAACCTTAATAACTCCACAATCGTAACAGATAGAGATTCATAGTTTTTGGCAATTGAAAGAAAAGAATTCTAGACGTCCTTTTGTTTTATTCAATATTATATAAAACAGAATTCTTCTAAAATCCATTCTATTTGTCAAACATTCAAAAAACAAAACAATTTATGTGATAATCTTCTTATATCTCAATGTTGAGAAAAACAAAATTGAATAATTGATTGATCAAATTCTATTAAATTCTATTGAATTTCGGCATATTTTCTTTTTCAAAATCGTTCGAAACCATAGATCGTTTTCATCTATTTTTGTTTTGAAATATTGTTCTGATGTAATGTCAAATAAAACGATGTCCTTTCAATTGCTACAAAAAGCAAGTTGGTAGCAATTATTGCACACATCCTTTCATATCTTTTTGAAAAATCATGAAATTCTCAATGATGGCATGCTTTCTCTTAAATATATATTATTTCTTTCTGAAATTTTAGTATAACGACAAATATTTTTATTCATCATTTTTTCATACAGATATAAAGAATTAATCTTTTGATATTAGAACCAAATAAAATTCATTGTCTTTGTTGAAATTCGATAAAATTCTAATGTACTATTGAGAATTATCATAATGCTGACTTTATTTTTATTGATACATCAAGGGGTATGGGTGGTAATGCTTCTCTTCATCAATCCACACCGACCTCCTCAGTTTTGACAAAACGGATAGAATAATAAATATTGAGTGAAAAGTAGCGAGGCAGCAAGATACATTTTTTTAAATAAAAGAAAACACTAAAATAATATTTTCTTTTGCTTATTTTTAGTAGATCATTTGACGAAGAAACTTTTATGTAAGAGAACAGTTTTCTAAAAAGTCCGAATGTCTCTTCTCGCAAATAATTATTTCATCATTATTATCATTCAATGAGAAACCAATTTTATCTGATTCATTTATTGTTGTGGATGGATGTGGGTGTGGGTGAGTGAATAGACGGTGTCAATCTACGCTCTCATTTATGTTCAAATTCTTGTTATGCAAAGCCCTGATAATTGTTTTTATATATTAATAGTAACACAAAATGCATCGGCGAAATCACACTCTGCATTTTTCTTTAAATACTAAAAAGAGAGAATGTATAGGATGTTGTACGAAGATATATTGTCCAAGTTATTGTGAATGACGACATAAGAAAGAATAAGCACACAAAGCATGAGTTCTATACATCAAAAAAAAAGTAGACGAGGAGTAAGCAAACACTTATGTTACAGTACACAAAAGTTGTAAGATTCATACACAAGTAAGTTACCAGTCAATCCAGAAACTTTCTTGTATATAAGCTTACTCATTCCGAGGACTTGCATAAAAGAGGGTTGGGATGTGGGTGTAGACAATTATTCACACACCTACAACCACACCCTAAAGACCTGATATTTTGGGTATATATCTAACTCAACAAGGTCTCCTTACTGGCAAAAAATACGAGTCATATGGATGTTCGTGGAACCAGCTCACCGAGCTGTTTATTGCTATGATATCAATTTCTGATTTGGCGGTCATACCGTCTTTCACAAATACTCCTGAAAAAGAATCGTTTGTATTGGCAAAACTAGTAATAATTCAATATTTTCATATTGAGGGAGGGCGTGTTTTATAATTGTGGAACAGCTGAGATTTGAAAGTTTTTAAATTTATTCATTAATGCTAATTGATCGAATTCAAACTAATATGACACATGATAAACTGCTACCATGCGTCCATAGATTTGGCTTTAGATCGGAAATGAGACATTTGTTGTTTTCAAAATTTGATAGCGGTGCTATAATTTTCGGATATCCTATATCATTAAAAACATTGATATTTATTTTCATCATTATATTACAAAGTTAAACAGTCTATAAAAGATTTTAAATCTTGTAAAAGCTTGATACAAGTCATTTAACTCTTTTCTAATATAAACAAATGATACATTAAGAATAACCGGGTCAAATTTGATGAAATAATTATTGATTCTATACTACTATATAGATATAAGATTTTCGTTGCTAACGAACGCTATGTTCAACAATATTGCCTCCATATTGATGCTTTCTATATTTATGAATATTCATTGGTCGAAGCTACTACCAATCAAACAATATCACCTTCGTGGTAGCTCGCTCTTATCATTTTTTTTTGTTAAGAATTGTATTATCTAAAGTAGTACACAAAAGATTAAGACACTTTTGATTTTTTTTTAATTTCTTTCCTAAAGGTAAGAAAAAATAAATATCTTTATGTATATAAAAATCTTCAAGTATATATCATTAGATGAAGAATTGAACGAGCTAAATTTAGGTATAAACAATTTTTCTTAATTATTCGTTTTAATAATTTAACAATAATAATTAATAATCTTAACCAATTAATTAATTAATAGAACCTTTTCTCATAGTTTTTCACTTTCAAGTATATCATTAGAAAGCTCATTAACAACTAAACAAAACTGTATATTTTTTATGTTACAATAACTAGTTACGATAGAATTCTTTTGGAACATTTTTTATAATTTCATCAATACTCTCTGAATAATTAAGCAAATTGAGATTTAAAGAGGAACTTCATAACGCTGAGAAACAGTGCATTTTAGACAGCAGAATTTTTTTCTATCGAATAATGTCTCGCAATCATCTATACAATGTGTGTCTGCTGAAATATAACTTTTTAAACTTTCATACTAATTTTAACGACAATTTCAGCTATTTTTCTGCGTGTTCAGCATTCAAATATTTTCAAAGCGTTACTGTTTCTCAGCGTTATGAAGTTCCTCTTTAAATCTCAATTTGCTTAATTATTCAGAGAGTATTAATGAAATTGTAAAAAATGTTTCAACAAATTCTATCATAACTAGTTATTATAAAATAAAAAATATACAGTTTTGTTTAGTTGTTAATGAGCTTTCTAATGATATACTTGAAAGTGAACAACTATGAGAAAATGTTCTATTAATTAACTAATTGGTTAAGATTATTAATTATTATTGTTAAATTATTAAAACCAATAATTAAGAAAAATTTTTTATACCTAAATTTAGCTCGTTCAATTCTTCATCTAATGATAGATACTTGAAGCTTTTTTCTGTTTTCAGTAACGATACATCAACAAAATATTAAAAGTATCTTAAACTTTTGTCTATAGAGAAAAAACTGTATTTCTCTGTACATTCTAAGCTAACGACCAATTTGATGCAATATAAATGAACCATGTAGACTTCAATCCTGACTATATATATATAAAGATATTTATTTTTTCTTAACTTTAAAAAAGAAATAAAAAAAAACAATAAGTATCTTAATCTTTCGTGCACCACTTTAGATCATCAAGTGGTTCGATCCATCTTTCGATCTATGTCATCATTACCTACATATGAAACATTGAAATTAAGTCAACCGAAACCTTATGTAACTCTTGTTGAGTTAAATCGACCGACGAAACTCAATGCTATGAACCAACAATTATTCGAGTAAGATATTTTTTTTTGTATTAACATATACTTACTAAAATGGTATGATTTTTTTGAGTGAGTTGAAAGCATGTTTTGAACAATTAAACAATGAAAAGGAATGTCGAGTTATAGTATTGACTGGTTCTGGTAGAGCATTTAGTACTGGTAAATTCTTGCTTACTTTATTAATGAAAAGTATTTTTGAGATATTTTCAGGTATTGATATTAAATATTTATCAAATGTTGCTGCTGAATCTGCTGAAATCGATGATATAGCACGAAAAGCATTACATGTTCGAAGTATGATACAACGAACACAAGAATCTTTAAGAGCAGTTGATAAAGTAAATAAATAAAATCATAACTTCTTTCGTATATATATACAGGTTTGATTTCTAGTGTGAAAAACCAGTAATAGCTGCTATTCATGGTTATTGTATTGGTGCTGGTGTTGATCTATCAGCTTGTTGTGATATTCGTTACAGTTCACGTGATGCGACATTTTCTATCAAGGTATTAATATTTCCATAGATTCAATAACGAATATATATGTTTGTATCTTTAGGAAGTCGACATAGGTTTAGCAGCTGATGTTGGTACTCTCCAAATTTTACCTAAATTAATTACCGATCATAGTCTCTTCCGTGAACTTGTTTTAACATCACGAACATTTGATACTAACGAAGCACAACAGATTGGACTTATTAGGTAAACATCGTAATGAATATCGTAGATGACAAAATACTTCCTGAATCATTCGAAATAATACTTTAGAAAAGCCGCAGTGTTTGTGGATTTTATGAAGCTATGGGGGAGACAGACCCTTGATTCGATTTTTATAAACCACTCAAATCCGAATAACTGCTTGTTCATCGAGGTTTTATGCAATCGATGAATACTATAGCTTCTATCATCGCACTTACTGACGGTTCGTGAGGACAGAATAAGTAGTTTGATTGTTGTGGTTTCTTGAAAATTTTCTAATAAAACTACAGAATCAGCAGGATTGACTCAGAAAAAACAGTTAATTGCCATTTATAAAAATAATTCAACTTCCAGTCATTTTTATATCAGACACAGTTATGGTAAAAAGTACATCATCTACCCTCATCTTCACACATTCCTACACACTTCGTCTATGTAAAACACAAAATATGCTAGCAAAAGATCGCACATGATATGCATCACAATCTTCACAAACCGTCATATCTAATGCTGTGGTAATTAATGAGTCCAATTTCGCGTTTTTTAATTTTTTCGAGGAAAAGAATTAATATTTCATCTACTCAGACTTTCATTTATACAAGACTCGGCAATCGGATGCTTAAATGTTTTTAATAAAGTCAAAGATTATCTCGAGAATAACTGTTAGTATTTCCTCCATCGTCCGTAACTCGATAAATATTCTCACATATTACAAATTAACTGAAATAAGAAATTATTCCATGGACTGCTTCATCTTGAATTGAATGATAAAAAATGGATATCGTTTTATTATTCCTAGCCGTGTATTTGATACTCGTGAAGCTTTACTTGATGCAGCTATATCTTTAGCAAGTGTTATTGCTTGCAAGAGTCCTATAGCTGTACAAGGTTCAAAAATCAATTTAAATTATGCACGTGATCATACTGTAGATGATAATTTTACTTTTGTGGTATGTTATTAATTAGAATTTTCTTTATTTAATAAATTTCCCATTTATTATTTATATAGCGTACATGGAATAGTGCTATGTTATTGACTGAAGATATTGTGAACAGTCTTATGGCAACATCGATATCAAAGGAAAAAAGTAAACTATGAACCAAGTGAAATTGGATTTGAAGATTTTTAAAAATAAACATTTTCTTTCATGCATAAAATTTTGCAGAATATTCCAGATGACGTTGAATAGCTTGTTTTAATTCATGGTGAGGGTGGATGTCGATGGGACATTGCTACCACAATACCTTTGTTATAAGATTATATGGGAATATAAGATAAAAAACATTCACTATTGACAGATTTAACTTTCGCTGCATTTCAAGTTTTTGTCTCTAAAAGCTATCTAAATGTCGTCAAAACACTTCTCAAAATAGCTTTCTGCAGGTTTTTCGGCACGCTCTTTTATATCGATGGATCAAGAAAAAATTTTGCCGCAATAAAGCTTTCGACTTGAAAACCTGATTTTTCGGAGAACCCGCTCTTTGAAGCCTGGTAAGCCTAAACCATTGTGGTATTCGAAATCAGCATACTCGATTACCTACGATCCACTAAGTTTTAGCTCAAAAGCGAGGGGACAGTTGGGGGCTTTCCCTCGTGAGGTCGATAAGCAATAGTATACTTGATCTCTATATCCTTCAGGAATCTAACTACAACAACACAAATCACAAATGAAATGTATAAGAATGAAAATAGTTTCGTGGACTGAGTGCCCAAAAAAGTTGCTTATTAGAAAGAAAGCAACGATGTATCTCCAAGGTCAGTTCGAGACTGTAATGAGTGCACGATGTTTGTATTGTATTTCTTATTCTTTTGGCTAAACGAACATTGTTCTGGTAGGTCAATGTCACCACCAGCCCATACACTTTCGTTATCGGGACCTATATTCGATCAGAGTTGTTCATTTATCTTTTGGTAAGTTGTAGTAAGTAACTGTTCTCGTCGATGTAAAGAGTACGACGTCTGCTTTGTCTTTACACATTTCGTATCTGGGTTCTGTCTTCCTTGTATGATGTTAGTTACGAGAGAACAGATGTCATGCTCCACTCAACAACAAGAATATTCAATTATTAGAATCTAATATACCAAGAGATAAACGATCAGATCATCTGATCGAGTACAATTTGAGATGACGAAAATGTGTAAGTTGGTGTTAACACTAGCTTCCCAGAGCAGCATATCTTCACTAAGAAAATAAAAGTGACGTTTCATAGTTTGTATTTGTTATGTCCATAATGATGTTGTAAGGCTCAAACTTATTCTTGATATGGTTATTACTACGTTGAAAACCTAGTGTGCTGTGTCATATAGACAAAAAAGTGATCAACATCGAATTGATGATAAGCGATGGATAGTGCTTGTATAGATATGCGACGGCCTGCGTTTTTCTAAACAATTATATTATAGCAGCTTTCAAATGAGGAATCATTTTCAGGAAAGCTGATTCTGTTTGGAATTATCAATACATGGGTAAATTCAATAAGAAATACATTTATAAAAACTATGTCAATAGTTCGAAGAAACATTGTTGAAGAAAAGAAAGTGCGCCATGTAAAAATGTTTCTGTTAACTTGTAAGCTTTTACGATTAAAACTGACTATTAGTATTTGTTCCCATCGCTTCTAAAGTCGATATGAAAATTTGCTTTATTGAAAAATGTCCAATTAAGCATTTTATACTTAATGAGAAAATAGCATCGTATTTGTTGATGATATACAAAGCAAAATTGTTAATGTAATAATATTGACAATGATGCCTAGTATTGGTATTGTGAAAAGCGCGACAGAGAAAAATACATATATCAAGTGAATTGTTTCTTTATCCATGTTGATGATTGAGTCGATTGAGACGAGCATTTGAAGACATCAATTGAATAAGATGGTCATGATTTAGACATATGACTATCATACAACAGTATAAAGAAATACGAAAGACAGTGCATTCAAAATAGAAATGCTAACGTAGAAGAAACAAGCTTGATCAATCTTAGGTAATTTCATATAAACGAAAGAATATATTTACTTCAATAGAAATATAACATTATAGATTTCATCGTAATTCGTCATACTCAAGAATTAAATTCAATGTGAACATGATTTGGTAAAAG